TTCCCACCCCCCTGCTCTTCTGAGTTTCAACTCCACAAAAACACAATGCATCTCCCAGCCCAGTCCCCTCCCCTCTACCCTCTGGCACCACACCTTCCCCCTTCAGCTTCCTTTTCTGTGCAATCCCCCCCATCCCCAATTCTATTTCCTCCATTAGATGGTAAACTCCTGAAGCGCAGGGACAGCCTTTTTTTTTTTAAAGCACAGAGCCTGGCACATAGGAGGCATTTAATCAAAGTTTACTGACTATTACTGAACTGACAAAATTCTTTTATTGGATAGGCAGTCTCTGTTTTTGACAATACTCTGCCTTAGTGAAATAGAGAATAAAATTATCCTTCAAACTAACACAGAGAAGTTTAAAGATGTTAGAAAGCCTCTTCTTCCTCTTCTTCAATGTTACATGGCCATTCTCAGTCACCAGAAAGACAACCTGATGACATTTATAAGTAACAATGGGTGTTTTTCCAGAACTGCCAGCAACTGAAGACTGAACCAAACCACTGCAGAATGGAAAGAGACCTTAGAGGTCAAGTTCACCTTCTGCCCAAAACAAAATGAGGATTAGCATGGAGAATGGGATTAACCAACTGGTGAGATCTGAAGGAGAAAAAAAGGGAATAGCTTGATTTAGAATTCTGTTTTAGCAATCTGCTTAAAATAAGTCATTTAAAAAAAAATCTTGCGGCATAGGAAACAAATGTTTCAAACATAAAGATGTGGCCAATTTTAGAAAGGCAGATATCACCCAACTTTCCAGGATGAAAGTAAGCAATGTATGATTAGATCACACAATTCAACCCAAAAACACCTTTCCCAACTCCTGGCTTAGTGAAATTCTCAAATGTGGAGACTGGAGGCTGAGAAAATACCACAAAAAGCAAAGTGTATTAGGCAAACAGAAAAGCTGATGTCCTGAATGCTTTGTCAAAATGCTTCTGCGGTATCCCAACTGGACTGGCTATTCTTTTTTTTCAAGGCCATAATTTTTCCATTCTTTTTTTTTAGAGTGCCATGAAATTTCCAACGTCCTCATACTCAAAAATATAAAACGAACTATTTGAAAGGCAATGTTTCCGACATGGATAGTCTCTGGTCCTCTATGTGATACTGTGACATAGTGGATAACAGGTTCATGTTCAGTCATGTCTGACCCTTCACGACCCCATTTGGGGCAGAGATACTGGAGTGTTTTGCCATTTCCTTCTCTAGCTCATTTTACAGATGAAGAAACTGAGGCAAAATAGGGTGAAGTGACTTGTCCAGGGTCACACAGCTGCTAAGTGGCTGAGGCCAGATTTGAACTCGGGAAGAGGAGTCTTCCGGACTCCAGGGCAGGCGCCCTATGCACTACCTGGCCGCTGCCCTCTAGTGTCATAGTTGAAGTCAAGAAAGTCTAGGTTCAAATAACAACAGCTGTCATTTTATGCAGAGCTTTAAGGTTTGCAAAACACTTTACAAACATGATGTCATTTTATCCCAACAGCCCTCAGGAGGTAGGTGCTATTATTATTCCCATTTCACAAATGAAGAAAGTGAGGCAGACAGAGGTGAAGTGAGGGCCAGGGTCACACAGCCAGTCAGGGGCTAAGGCCCGATTTGAAGTCTTTCTTATCCAAATCCAGACCCTGACACTTTGTGATAGGTGATGCTGGGCAAGTCATGTTACTGAGCCTTGGTTTCCTCATCTGTGCAATGGGGCACTTACCTCACCCAAGTAAGCACAAAGGAGATAACTTATGTGAAGCATTTGAAAACTTTAAATCCCTCTGTAAACATCACCTGTTATTACAGATGGATAAAAAAAAAATAAGCACACTTTACCCCTGAAAAGCGGTGTGTAAATCACTCTCAACTCCCCACATTGAATGCATTGGAGCAACTTGTAAATAAAAGTGACAGACGTGTTAAACGAATATATTCATATTACCACTCTGGACAGCAAAGTCTTTCTTAGATTATCTTATTTTGAAAATTAAGAAATATATTAATATTTTCCCTGGAAGTTAAGATAGCTTTTAGAGGAATAGTGAATAGAATAAATATCTGTTGTTCTAAATTGAAAAAAGGCAATGTGAATTAAGAATTTTTACCAATATAATTACATTTCAATGAACTACCTACAAAGTAAGGGAAGATATCAAGATACATATGCAACATTTAAACTGCAGGTCAATATTAAAATGATTTTTCTAATGAAAAAAGCTAAGGGAAAAAGTCTGTCCACATTCCTAGGCAACATGATTATAAACAGAGCAGATTAATCTATAATGCTACTCAAGAGAAAAGTGTCGTCACGCTAGACAATACTCATTGACTTGAGCTTTCTCAGCTCCTTTACGGCTCAGCCCCAGCCCACTCTCTGAAGATCTCTCCTAGGACCTTCTCCTAGGAGACTATCATCAGAGATTTTGTAGGCACCTAGCTTTTTACATGGTGGCTCCCCCACTAGAGGGCAGGGATTGCTTTTGCCTTTCTTTTTTATCCTCAGCTTTCAGTAGAGTGACTGTTACTTAGTAAGATGGAACAAGTAATGCTGGTTGACTAACTGACTGACTTTACTTTTAAAAACAAAACAATTCGATGAACTTCCTAATTCAAATTAAATGACTGTTCTAAAGCATCTTAGCTAAAGAGTTATAGAATATAAGAGCTAAATTAAAAAACTGCAATATTCACTTCTTAAAAAGTAAATGCAATGGATCAAATGGCTCATTATTAACCATAACGAGTTCATTATTAAAGAAAGGCTTCAAATCAAGGTTATCAATATGTGATGTCATTTAAGAATTGCCTCTAGACAGCCTAAAATACACAGTAATCTTACTTTAATGAATTTCCAGAGCTACTGATAATATGACTTCCTTTCATGGCTTTTTTGATTATTTTATTGTTTAACCATTCCAATAACTGATAAATTATTCCTTATATTTAACTGATCTCTCTAAATAAAATTGAATGTAATTTCCTTTGTTCCTAATTTGGCTCTTTGTAGGTATAAAGTCACCTTCATAACTGTTAATATCCTTCATAAAAACTATTGTTGAGCAAAAGATGTTGAAAATAGTTATGTTACCTCTTAATCTTTGCTGAGACATCTCAGAGTCTTGAGTTAGAACATTAGGGGTAATCTAATTAACCCTCCCACCTGTGCTAGAATCCTGGCCACAAGAAAAAACCCTGACAAGAACTCAGTGTAAGCGATAACTTTCCTCTTAGCATGAGTAGCAATCCACATGACTGGCACTCCCACCCCCTGGTCCCAGGCTGAGTGAGACCCATCTTCAGACACGTGAAGAGCCGTCACCTCTAATTACTGTCCCCTCCTCATCTGGAACAGTAGCCTTAAAACTTCTGCAACCTAAACAAGCCTTTACCCACAGGTCTCACTGACCATTCTTTGATCTTCTCTAAACAACCTCAAGGTTTCAGCATTTGAAAAAAGGATGTGGAAAAACTAAATCTGAACACAGCATTCTAATAAAATTTTGATCAATCACAAGTAGTTTAGTATCCTAATCTGATTAATATGTTATATTGCTTTACTAACAAGTACACTACATTGATGACTTACTTTTTCTTAACTACAAATTATGCATTTTCTGCCATCCCTCCGTCTAATCAAAACTGATATTTTCCACAAATGCAAAATGTGGAAAAAATTATAAAATCCTGTCATTTCACTTGTCTTTTATCAGTTTTCTTTCTCTATCAAAGGGCCAACATTTTAGGCGGTTCTCCTCAACAAAGAAATATTTTTCCTTTACTGTGTAGTTCATCCTTCAAATATCAATTCTCTTTCTTGTCAGCTCCAATGAATTTCATTACCACCTCTAAGGGGATGATTCTCATATCTATCTTTCCTGCTCTAAGCTCTATGCTGATCTCCAAGTTTGCATCTCCAAGTGCCTTTCAGACATCTCAAACTAGATGTGGAGTAGATACTTTAAACTTAACATGTCCAAAACAGAACTCATTATTTTCTCTCCTAAACCTTCCCCCACATCCTACCTTCCCTATTATTATAGAGGGCAATACCATCCTCTGAGTCCCTCGGGCTCACAATCTAGGAGTTATCCTGGATTCCTCACTCTCTCTCACTCCTCCATCTTTTCCATTCTCCTTTTTGGGTCTGTTCTGAATTTAGCCAAGCTGGCTTCTTTCTGCCTCTTTGTAACCCTGATCTGCTAGGGCTGGGGCTAATCCTTTCTGCGATACACCATGTACCTGACACCTCAAAATTACTAGTGAGATGCCAGAGTACAGCAGAAGTTCAGCTGAAGGACCAGAAATCAAAGGACCTTTGTGCTGAGAACACACGTGGCCAACTCCACCTGAGCTTATAAACCGATGAGCTGGATTCAGGGAGCTCTGCTCCACGAGTGAGGCTGTTACAGATGTCTCAGCAGTCACTGACGTGGGGCTGGGAAGGTCCCTCAGAAACCATGTCACCTAAGCAGATGAGGAAACTGAGGCATCACAGGGAGATTCAGTGCCTTGCTCAAGGCCACAGGAGTGGTGAGTGCCAGAGGGGAGATCTGAACGTGGCTCCTCAGAGGCCAGAGCCAACGTTCTTCTCACAGGACCCACCACCTCCTTAGGATCCATATGGGCTTCACGTGGTTGCCAGGCAGCTGCCTGAACTTGGGATGCAAACAATGCCAACGTAACTAGTCTAAATACCTCCCAGGATTAAATGCCACACATTGAAATAAACATCTCAACAGCCAAGTGGTAAGAAGATACCACAAAGGCAGACTGCACTTGCATTCCCTGAGAGGCTGGCAGAACCAAAGAGGACCCCAAGGAAGCCGTTGGCTAAAGGCCCACCACCAAAAATGTCTATTCCAGCAACTGCAGAACTCGGCCCTGAATAACCAAGACCTTTCACTATGGAGAACAAAATACTTAAGCAAAGAGCACAGAGACCGTGCCATGAACACTGAAATGAAAAAAACAGTGAATGAGAAAGTTGAGACAAGTGCTCCCAGGCTCCTTACCCATTGCTGCTGCTCCTGGAGCTCCCTGATGGCATTCTCAGCTTGCTCCAGTTTAGTACTGGCCTCATCACTCTGCTGTTTGATGGTGGCCAACTCCCGTTTTATGAGGTAGTTTTCCTCAGCCTCCTGGGCTCTTGTCACTTGTCCCTTAGGACATAATTTTTTTTTGTAAAGCAATTGAGGACAGATGCAAGAAAGACTGCCTCTGTGAGGTTTAGCTAGTCATTTTGCCATATTCAATAACCTCAGAGCATAGCACAGTTTTGGATAATCAATAGCTATCAACTCAGTGCTGCTTGAGCAATTTTGGGGGAACTAAACGTAAAATTAAAGTGACAGTCAGGTGTTCTTGCAAAATTCAATTCATGCAATATTATTCAGCTGCACATGCATCAATTAAACATTTCCAATGTAAGAAGTGCATTCACAGGATCCAGAGATTACAATTTGTACTATTTAAAACAGGATTTCAAAAAAGGTTAAATCTGTAACGTGCAAACGCCAAGACTATCAAGAATTGTCTATTCCCATGTAATCTAAGAATTAAAATATTTCCTTATAAATGCATGTAAACGTGCATGCATTAAAACAGGATTTTCTAAGTCTGTTGTTTAGATTATTAATTTTTTTTGCAGGGGTAGGGAAGAAAATTGGAAAAAATGCTCAAGAACTATACCTGTATCAATCTATCTGCCAAGGAAGCACTTTCCTATAAAAGGAAAAATTCAGAGGAATATAAGGGAAAGAAATAAAACAAAAGTAAAAAAGTGATAAAACTGAGAATAGAAAGAAACAAATCATGCTCAAATTCCACCTACTTTTCATATAGAGCTTTAGAGAACATACTCTCTACATTAGGAAATTTAAATTTATATTTATTTTTAAGCTATTAGCTTTTATTATTCTGACAAAAACATGGCAAGACTAAGGTAAAATACGGAAAGTAAACTGCATATGACAGATTAACATTAATACTAAATTGCTGGATGCAGAGGAAAGAGGTTCTTAGAAAGTACTCTTTTTTAAGCCTCCCTGTTGCAACCCTTATCCCCCCTGGCTTTCCCCCCTCCGCACAGCCACTGAATGTCCAGGTCATGTGGATGAAAAGGAGGCAGAATCTGAGCACACATTTGAATTTACAAAGTGCAGCGGTGCTTGTGGGATAGCAGCTTCCAAAGAGGCAAAGCAAGGAAGGTTACATCGAATGTCCAGAACGGAAGTGAAATAATTCACCACAACAATCAAATGAAGTAAGTGTGTTCTTGGACTTCGGTTCTTTATTGAAATCTAGAAATAAAGAAGTGCAGAGGACTCCGACGTTGCAGAACTAAGGGTGCTTATGATATTTTTTATAACTACTCAGTGACAAGGTTCCTTATACAAAGAATGAAAGCACTGAATTTTATGGAATTCTAATTCCAAATCCATCATTCTTGAAAGCAACTATAATATTCTGTTAGTTTCACTGAAATTAAAATGCATCTTCCATGAGAATGGCTGTTTCCAAAAACAATATCTATAATCTATCTGTCTCTCTACGTGATGAATAGTTAAATTTGTGAACAAGGGTTACCTTTGACCTCAATGTTTTAAATATTCAATTTGGCACTCTTGCTATACTATACAAAAACAGATCATTTAATGAATGGATGGAATATAATTAAAGATACAAAACCACAATTTTTTTAAACGAAGCTTAAAAATTTAAATCAACTTCAAACTACAGGGTAAGCCATTCAATATATATAGTCATCCAGATAGTTTTTATAAAGACAGCATTTTCACAATAATCACATACCTCAGTCACACTGCCAAGACACTAAAAATTTAATAATTCTATCGACAAAGCAAACTATATCTGTGCTGTCATCTTACAAACACATTTGTCTTAAGATATCAGCTTGCCCATATATGTTATTTTATAACATAGTAGCAAAAAAATTTAAACCACAAAAATGCCAACAATAAAAATTATATGTATTTCTTTAATTATTTGAGAATTAACTTATAAATGATTATAACACGTTTGCAATATTTACAAGTTAGCAATATCCTGAAAAGTGCTATTTATTAATTTCAACTTTTATAATATAGACTACTAAAGACAAATCAAAAAAATTTTTTTTCATTTTCCATTTTAATATAAAAAGTCAGAGAAAATCAGAAGACCAAAGCTCTGACAAACCAGGTAAATCACTTTTCCTAAGTCTCAATCTCTTCATCTACAAAGTGGGGATATTTGCACAACTTACACAACAAGGCTGTTATAAAGAGATATGCTATGAAATGAAAAATGATAAATAAACGTGAATTAGAAATTATAGTAACCAGCTTACTTTGGGATCAAAAGAATAAAGGAAAGATATACAAACACGGAATTTATTATCATATCAAAACCAGAATATGTAGTTAGAAAGGTGAAAATTAATTTAAAATAGGGTACCACTAAGTTAACTACAACCTGTCAAAATGTTCATGTTGGGCCCAGTGGTAAATAGTTTCAGTAATTCTATGATGACAAAGGGAAAGGGTCAGACGTGAAATTAAAAGACTTTCTAAGGCCTAAAAGTATAAATCTCACAATATAATGAAATCTAATGTAACAGGCAATAAAATTTCTATCTATAACCAATAACTTCCTTTATCCAAAAATGCCAGTGCTAGGCTGTAAATCAGTCACTTAAGGATTTAACCAGTAGTTGGAAAATTATGATAACTTTTGGAAAATGTATGATAATGTTAAAATAAAAAGGAACTTTTGTTTACTTAACTACACAGAACCTATTCCTCTTTTCATAGGTTAAATGCCCAGCAATACATTTCTAAAGCAACATTTGCATTGTAAATGAGTTCAATTTAAAAACTGAAATTGAAAGCACGAAAGATATTTAGTCTTTATTAATGCCAAGTTATTTAAACAGGCAAGAAGCTAAGCAGCTAAGCAGCAAATATTGCAATTTAGTGGACAGATATGTTACATTTTCCATGCAATGTTCATTTAACATAATACCTCCCTAGGTAAAGGTATAATTATGACAGAGATCCAATTAAACAGTAACATACTTACTTTTTCTAATGTTTCAATGCGCTGTTTTAAAAGTCTATTTTCTGTGCGTAATCTCTGCAAGAAATAAAAGGAATGCTTTTAAATATTCTCAAAAGAAAAAAACTTTCCCCAAATCCAGATCCTTGTGATATGTATAATTCAATTCAGCTCAACAAACATTAAGATGATATGAAGTTTAGAAAAAATATAAGCAAAGAAAGTAAATTTTAAAATGCTTTACCACCAATGACATTCTTTCAGGTACACCTGCTAAAAAATAGCAATAAATACAGCATATATTTCTTCTATGGAAGTACAGGATCACACACAAACCTTTACTGAGAACACCCAAATATCTACCAAGCACAGAAAACAGCAGTTAAAAACCCAACAAAACCTCTCCTCTTCTCACCTATCAACACTCTTTTTCCCCCGCTTTTTTTTGCTTTTCGGTGAAGCAGCTGGGGTTAAGTGACTTGCCCAAGGTCACACAGCTACTGAGTGTCAAGTGTCTGAGGCTGGATTTGAATTCAGGTCCTCCTGACTCCAAGGCCAGAGCTCTATCCACTGCACCACCTAGCTGCTCCAACACTCTTTAACATTCACAGTGCCAGTCACTGTAGAGTGAAGGATGCATTGTTACTCAAATTTGGAGAACTGCCATTGTGGAAGCGCCTCCAAAGAATACAAAGGGCAGATCACAACCATCTATAACTTGGCTGAGGAATCCTAGGGAATAACCTGAGGAGCACAGAGAATAAATCATTTGTTCAGGGTTCACAGCGAGAAATGTAGGGGTTTTCTGATCCTAAGCCCAGCAGGTGCCACCTGATTTAAAGCCTTGTAATCAATCCTAGGGCACCTGTTAAGCATCGTCTGTGTGTCAGGGCCTGCACTTAGTTCTTAGGAAGAACTCCCCGAGGAGATGACTTTCTCTCAGCGGAGACAAAATGGACACAAATTAGCACATGCAAAATAAAAGTCAGTAACTGGCGGGAAACAGGAGGCGCCGGCTGCTAAGGCGGGGCGGGGATGAGAGGGGGGAGCAGGAAAACCTTCTGGACGACACAGCACTCGATCTGAGCCCCGAGCCGTCGAAGGATTCCAAGAGCTGTAGGTAAGGAAGAACGGCCCCCCCCCACCCCACTGGTCCCTGCGCCAGGGGGGCAGCCAAGGCAAAGGCCCAGAGAATGACAAGCAGGCCAGACTGTAGAGTGGAAGAAAGGAAATAAGGCATAAGAAGACTGAAAAGGTAGGATGGAATCAGGCTGCAAAGGGCTTTAAAGGCAAAGAAGTGCAGTTAGTATCCGAAAAAGAAGACAGTGAAACTAGGGTGGCAGCTATTTCAACAGAGAGATGACAGATGCAAGAAATTAACCTCTAGTCAAGATGGCTGCCTGAATAGAGGCAAGCTACCTAGCTTTCACATACTGACTTAAGAAAAAAGTCCAAAATTGGTACTAGTTTGAAAAATGATGAAGAAATCCAAGGAGAAACTATGGTAAATCATTTCTTTTACCCCTTCTTTCACTGCACAGAAGCCCATGGACAATAGGGGGCTGTCAGCAAAGTAAGCAAAGGTTTGGGTACAGGCAAAATAGTCTGTTGCTACCCAGTGTGACCAGAGATCACCCAAAGATTCTTGTAGCCTGGGAAGACTCTCTGACTGTCAGGAGGCAAGAGAAGTGGGCCCCTAACAAAGTCCCAAGGAGGTCAGAAATCCCCAGGTTTGTTAGAAACCCACAAGGGTAACTTCGGAGGCCCCAAGACTGACAGTCTAAAAGATCTGAGATTCCCGGAACGGAGAAGTCAGAGGGCACTGAAGGTTCAGCACTTCCAACCTCAACCATCAAGGGCAGGTAGGGAAGGAGTGCCTGGAGATCTAACTCTGGAAAGTAGAGGTCAGTGTAAAAAAACAGAGACCCCAGAGTGAGAAACAGCAGGGCCAGCCACCTTAACCAAAGGAGCAGGAACAAGTGGAAACTGGCCTTTGCCCAAACCCCAAATCAGAAATTGAGAGTGGAGAAATTAGTAAACCAAGGACGAGGACTAGTATTAGAAATGACTGCAGATCTAGAGGCATCCAAAATTTCAGCCCGGAAGGATAACAATTCTGTAGTAACTCAAGCAGAAACTCAATGGAAAAAGTAGATTTTCCACAAAGACTACACGAATATCTAGAAGAAATAAAGCAAGGGATAAAAAAACAAAACAAGGTTTGGAGGAAAGAACTGGAAGGAGAATAAACAGCTTGAAAGAGAAAGTGATAAAAATGAAATAAAGGAGTTTCAGGCATTTCTTATGAAGATTAGAGCTGCGTAGGAACTTTGAAATATAAACACAACAGTCAAGAGAAACTCAGAAAAGGTAAATTTATTTGAGCAACTGGAAGGGGCTGCAGGATGATACAGTGTTAGCTTTCTGTTTGAAGAAGAAACAAGTTTTCCTTCAAAAACTTAATGTCTTGGGGCAGCTAGGTGGTGCAGTGGATAGAGCACTGGCCCTAAAGTCAGGAGGACCTGAGTTCAAACTTGGCCTCAGACATATAACACTCACTAGCTGTGACTCTGGGCAAGACACTTAACCCCAACTGCCTCACCAAAAAACCCCACAAAAACCAAAAAACAAACTTAATGTCTTTTTAAAATCTGTAATTCAATTTTAAAAATTAAACTTCATGCTTTAAATGATCAAGCATTTATAAGCTCTCCTTCCCGCCTCTATCTCCACAAAGAATCCTTGTTACAATATGCACTCATACAAAGAAAAAATTCTCACATTGACTATATCCAAAAATAATGTGTCTCCATCTGCAAATTTAGCCCATTACTTTTCTGCCAGGAGGTGAGGAGCATTCTTCACCTATTAGTCCTCTGGAATGATCGGGTCATTGCATTGATCAAAACAACCTTAATATTTTAAGGTTCAAGGGAGGTAACTTTAAAAAAAGAAAAAGGACCTGGGGTGGATTGATTTTAATCTGATAATTTTAGAAGGGAAAGAGAAGAGAGGGTAAAAGGAATTCACTGGGTGTGGAAAAGAGGAATAAGAACACAAAATTTATTTCTCATATTTGGAATGCATGAGAAGAGCACACCAAGATGGAAGAAGAGGTGGAGGAGTGAGCATCACACTACGTTTTTATCTGAGACACAGGAAGGCTGAACACACATATACACACAGAGTTTAGTATAGAATACAGAGAAATAACTGGGATGGGGCTAAGATTTAAGAGGGAAGATAACAAAAGGGAACAGATTCAGGGAAAAACAAATTTCCCAATCCGTAAGGGGATATTACAAAGTGAAAAAATAAAAAGCAAGGAATCAGAATCTGAGGGGGATATTCAACAACTGAATTGAGGAATGGCTGCTCTGAGATTTGAATGTAAGAGAATGTTACATCACAAAAAATGACGAAAGGGACAATTTCAGAGGATCCTGGGTAGCATGAACTGATGCAGAGTAAAATGTTTAGAAACAGGAGAATAAGTTATACTAGGATAACAACATGAAAAAATTTTTTTTGAAAGGCTTAACTCTTATCAATGAAATGACCAAATACGTCTTCAGAAAGCCTGTGATGAAGCAAATTGCCCACCTCCTGCCACAGAAGTAACAAACTCAAGATGCAGAAAGAGACATACATTTTTGATATGACCACTATGTAGATTCATTCTGCTTGACTATATTTTTTTGTTAAAGAAGTTTTGTTTTTCTTTCTTTTGTTTTCTGAGGGAGCTTGGCAGGAGTCAGTAGCAACAGTAAAACAAAGGGGGGAGGGAGCACCGAAACATTGTTTAAAATGCAGAGGACAGAAGGAAATTTAGAAAGAAGCACAGACAAGCAGGACAATTCTCAAAGTAATGTCTGAAATTTATTGTTTTTAAAAAAACAATCAGTATGAAATAGAATTCTATAGTTCCATAAGACAATCCTCTTATTGTGTTTTGCTATATATGAAAACATCCTTTTTTGGTGTGTAAGTTTAGAATAAAAAATATTTTAAAGAAGAATCAAGACTTGGCAACTGGATATATGGAATGAAAGAAAAAGGAGTTGAAGATGACTACCAGGTAGTGAACCAAGGTGACTGCAACAATGGTGGTGACCTTGAAAGAAACGTCTGTCAATAAGCATTTATAAACTACATGCTATATGTTTGACATTGAAAACCACTAGAGATGCAAAAAAAAAAAAAAGGAAAACGTCCCTGCCTTTAAGTAGCACATACTTCAATGGGGAAGATTATATGCAAATGATCATGATCATGATCATGCCCGTGTAATATCTACCCGATGTAGTTGGAAGGTAATCTCAGAAGGAATGGCCTAGCAGCAGGAAGGATCACAGAAGGCCTCCTGCAGAAAGTAAAGAAGACAAAAGTAAGGAGGGAGAGCATTTCAGCCATGGGAGATGGCCAGCATAACTGTATGGAACTGGAAGACAGACTGTCATGTGAGAACAGCAAGCAGCCGTGCAGCAGAATCACAGGGCCCACGGAGAGGAACAAAGTAGAAGGAGACTGTTAAGAAAAAAAAAAGATACAAAGAAGAAACCCCAGGGTTACTTTCTCTCTTTTCATCGGCGTTTGCTTTGCTCTGTGTAGTACAGACATGTATGAACACAGCACAGAAGTTGGAAAAAAGAACACTTTACTATCCTCCCTCCACGCTCAGGAACAAGGATTGCTGATGCAGAGATGCAGTTCTAAGGGATTTGTGTGTATCTAGTGGAAAATCCAGTGACTTTCTCCAAAGCTCCAGAAAGAAGAGCAGCTTTGAGGAAGGGAAGAACAGACAGCAGTTAGGTCAAATTCTTGTTTGCGGGGTGACCGACTTGTCATGGAATACTATACACTGAGAAGCTACAGTAATCAGAATATACAAAATGCTTTGAGAAATATTTCATATTATTCCAAATGTTACATTCCCAATAATTCCTACAAGTTTTTTCATAAATGATTTCAATAGTCTGCAATAGGATTTGTTTCTTGTGCAGCAGGAATTAATTTTAATAAAAATAGTGCTAAAAATAGTGCTAATTTTATTCAATTTGGTAGAAATCAAATGAAAA